CAGGCCAGGAACACCGCCGCCCCCGCCCCCCGCCCCTCCACTCCCTGGGCTGCTCTCCCGGGACGTTTGTGCGCTTGGGAGGACTACAGCTCCCATCCTCCCCGTCCGAGTCGCTTGCAAGGCCCCGGCCTCCCCTGCGGATAACGATGATTCCCCCCACCCTCCAAAACTACGGCAAACCCTGGAAGAAAGTCGCTTCCCCTCACCCTCGGAAGGACTCCCCTCTCCCCACCCGGGACTTGAACCCCGGGAAGCCGCCCTCCCCCCCCCCGAGGAGTTTTGGGGGAGGGGGTTGCTTTGCTTGGTGGGGGTGGGAGAGCCGCTTCCCCTCCTCGGTTCCTGAGGGAGTCTGTTGGCCTGGCTGGAAAGAGGCTCTCCGGAGGGGTGGGGTGGGGTGTTGCCTTTTGCAACCAGGCGCCCTTCGGGTGGGGACTTGGCCCAGGATGATGGGAGTGGGAGTCCAGCCCATCCCCGGCTCTCCCTGTATCTGTCCCTTGGGGTGGGGGGGGTTGCAATCTGGGCAAGGCCCCCTCCCGATGCTGCTTAATTTGTTCTGCCCCTAAGCATTTGCCTTTTTGAAGCTTGTTTTGCAAAAGAGTTGCAAAAGTGATTTGTCTGTAGGAGAGAAAAACCTGGACCCGGGTTCAGGGTTGAAACACTGCTTGTTTTGCAACAGGAAACCTTTTCCCCCCCCCCTCCTCCTCTCCCCCCTTTCTGGCTCTGCACCCCATCTTTGCCTCGTGTTGGCTTGCTTCCCTTGCAAAGGACTTTTATATCACCATTCAGTTGAAAGAAACTGGGTGCTCCAGATTCGTTTTCAAATCCCTTTGTAGAGCTGCCAATTGTTGTTTTTTGTTTAATTGAGCTGTTGCCCTTCCAGCCAATTCCATTCAAAAAGACTTAAATCCTGGAAAGTGATGTCGTTTTGTGAATTTCCAAATCTAGGCCACGGGCCTGGGATTGCTTAGTGGTCTCCCAACCCTGTAGCAACCAGATCGGATTCTGCTTAGATTTTTTAAAATCTGTATAAGCCAACTAAATGCTTCTAAAGTAGGGCAAATATTTAGCCATTTATTTGTTAGATTCATCTCTCACCTCTTGGTCAGGGGTTCAAGGTGGCATACACAGTGTTTCTACCTCCCATTTTATCTTCCCAGCAGTAACCCTGAAAGATAGGCTGGACTGAGAGAAGGCCAGAGTCATAAATAAGATTTTTGGGGGGTGATAACATTTATCCTGTGCCTTCTCAATCCTAGTCCAATATCTAAAATCTATGCCTATGTATTACAGCATGTGTTTACAATTGATAAACTGCTGGGTAGCTTACCATTTAAAATAATGTTTTGGAATTTTGTTGGGCTTGGTTTTTAAGTTCTGTTTGTTCTTTTTAGACGCATTTGTATCTTAGATGTATAATGGGGTATCTTAGCCTCAGAATAATCTTTTAGTAATTCTGAAGATTTCCCAGATGTAAAGATGCTAATTCCATAATCTTGTGAATTATAGGCTCATAATAGCATCTGCTGTTAAGTGCCAGTAGTAATAAATGGTATCTTTATGGCTGGAAAAATTATCTGAATGGAAGTCTAACAAAATGAAATTCAATGTAGAGAAAAGGAAAGTCCTACTACACTTGGGCAAGAAAAACCAAAAGTACACATCTAAATTGGGTGAAACCAGGCTTAATAGTAGTAACTGTGAGAGGGATCTTGGAGTCTTAGTGGACAACCAGCTAAATAGGAGCCAGCAGTGTGCAGCTGCCACCAAAAACAAGTGCAAAGGCAACCCCTAAATTGCATTAACTGATACAATCAAGGGAGGTACTAATACCACTTTATAAAGCCTTAGTAAGATCACACCTAGAGTACTGCATCCAGTTTTGGTCACCACATTACAAAAAAGATGTTGAGACGTCTAGAAAAAGTGCAGAGAAGAGCAACCAGGATGATTAGGGGACGAGGCGGAAACATAGGAAGAACAGTTGCAGGAACTGGGCCTGGCTGGTCTAGTAAAAAGAAGGACCAGGGAAGACATGATAGTGGTATTCCAATATTTGAGGGGCTGCTACGGAGAGGAGGGGGTCAAGCTATTTTCTAAAGCACCCAAGCCCAGACAAAGAATAATGGATGGAAATTGAACAAGGAGAGATTTAATCTGGAAATGAGAAACTTTCTAACAGAACAATCAAACCAATGGAACACTTGCCTTCGGAAGTTGTGGGAGCTTCATCCTTGGAGGCTTTCAAGAAGAGATTGGACTACCATTTGTCAGAAATGGTGTAGGGTCTCCCACTTGGGCGAGGGGTTGGACTAGATTGACCTACCATCACTGATTAACTGTTAAATCTGAAGTTTCTCTGGTCATGTCCCTCTGTCCCTTTGGATAGCAATCCTGGGGTGTGATCAATGGATGGGAAGGGTCTTTAAATGCAGTTTTGATGCAACAGTTACGTCTCAATCTCTGTTCCCCCCACCCCCCAGAGACTGGATGCTACAAATTCCAGAAATAGTTAATTGATTAGCAAAGGAGAAAAAAGTCAGGGGATTTGAGGCTGGGCCCCACCCTTGTTTTAAGGGAAAATGCTGAATGTAGACAATTTATGCAATAACTGCAAAAAAATAAAAAGGAATATAGAAGGAGTGAAACTTCCTGTGGAAAGAAACCAAAATCTGACATTTAGTTTCTGACAGTGGGTAGGGAAGAGTTATTATGCACATGTGAACACAACAACGAAGCAGCCTGAAGTTGGTTGTTGCACAACTTTTCGGGAAAAAGTCTAAAATGTGGGAAGCCCCTCCCATTGTGCCCAGAACTAGGGATTCATCATGGTCAGCATGCATTATAGGCTCTTTGTGAAAATGCTAGGGGGGAGGGCTAACAGAAAACAGTTGGAAGTAAAAGAATTCACCCTTTTGGAATCGTACTATGGAATATAGCGTGCCTGGAAAAGCACAAGGAAGAAAATAGAAGGCAAATCAGTAGGAAAACTAGGACTTAAAGCACACAAATCAATCTTTATTCAGTCGCAGAGCAGCGGATAAAACACACAAGTCAGAATTAATGAGCACAATGAAACTTCTGTTTTTTGCTAGGAAAGAATGAGGATGGGAAGCACTTTTCCTGACTAAGAAATTTCATTCAAAGGTGGAAGCTTTCCTGACACTCATTTGTTAACTCTCTGCAAATCTGGGGGAGTGAGCTGCAGCTCCAGGAGAGCTTTAAATGAGAAAGATCCTCTCAGACTAACTCTTCCTACTGTAACGAGGATTTCTATCAGGGGCCTTCAAACTTGGCAACTTTAAGACTTTGTGGACTTCCAACTCCCAGAATTCCTCCTCCTGTCATGTTAAGCTGGGGAATTCTGGGAGTTAAAGTCCACAAGCCTTAGAGTTGCCAAGTTTGGAGACCTCCGATTTATATAATAGCTCAACTCTCAGCTCCACCTGTACAAAGGGAGACGTGCCCCAAAGCTTTCGTGTTTGCAGAAAGGTCATTCCAAAGATAACAGAATCTAAGAAGGTGGCCGGTATGGATTCTCACTGGTTCAGACAAACAGGCCAGCTAACTTCAACCTGCAACTAACTCAGGTGTCACCTGTAAGCGGGGCTGACTTCTAAACCCGGCTTGTTTGACCCACACAAAGCTCTGACTTTTAGCACCCACAGTTTTGTGTCTCTGGCGCCTCTTGGACCTGGTCACCCTGTTCAGACTTTGAGCAAACTGCAATTATTGTCTTTGGGCAAACTGTAGTTGTTCAGGGAGGCAGACAGCAGCGTCAAGGCTGTCTCCAGATAGCAGGGAGTGGGCGGTGGTGTTGGTGGTGGTGGGGGGGCGTTGAGGGTTGAGGGTAAGAATCAGGGAGCCTTTATAAGCCATGTGCTTGCTTGACAAAGCGGTCTTGGGAACGGCATTGTTCATTTAGAGCAATGTGCAGGCGTTTACCAGGCCTTGCCAGCTATTTGAGAAAAACAACACAAAAACATGGGTTCAAATGGGACAGCTTTGCACAGGGCAGGTATACGGGAAACTTAGGGAAGCAGCCACCTGAGCCTGGAATATCACTATCTGGGGACCATGCAGGTAGTCCTTGACTTATGACCAGAGGTGGGTATTCAGCAGGTTCTGATCAGTTCTGGAGAACCGTAGCGGAAATTTTGAGTAGTTCGGAGAACCGGCAAATCCCACCTCTGACTGGCCCCTTCCCCATCTCTTCTCTGCCTCCCATTGAGTCTCAGCTGATCGGCTGGGTCGTCTTGTGTTGCCCTGCAGAGGAGAAGGGAGCTGGAAAGCAGGTTAGTGGGGTGGGGAGGGAAAGGCGATTTTGCAGTATATCCTTCACCCACCATGCCACGCCCACAGAACCAGTATTTTAAAAAAAATTGAATCCCACCATGGCTTACAACCGTAATTGAGCCAAACATTTCTGTTGCTTTAAGCGGGAGTGTTAAGTGAGCTTTGCCTCATTTTATAACCTTCCTGTAGTTAAATGAATCACCGCAATGATTAAGTTAGTAACATGGCTGTTGTGTGAATCTGGCTTCCCCCATTGGTTTTGCTGGCGGGAAAAGTTCGCAAAACAGGATCTGCGTGATCCCAGGATGCTGCAAGCATCATAAATAACATGCCAGTTGCCAAGTGTCCGGATTTTGATCCCATGACCGCAGGGATGCTTCAAGTAGTTGTAAGTGCAAAAAATGGTCGTAAGTCCCTTTTTTTTTCCCAGCGCAGTTTGTAGCCTTGTACAATGGTCACTAAATGAACTGTCGTAAGGCCAGGACTACCTTTTATAGGCCAGGACAGCCAAAAACACTTTGGCTAGGTCTTTGCCTATGTGTTGTGGTTCGCCAGCAGCAGGTGTGGACGGCTGAGGTCTCGGGGGGCAAGGGCTCCGATGAGGAGCCTGCATCAGGGGTGGGATTCAAATTTTTTACAACCAGTTCTGTGGGTGTGGCTTAATGGGTAGGCGTGGCTTTGTGGTCATGTGACTGGCTGGGTATGGCCAACTCAACATCATTCACACCGAGGCACGCATCTCCTCACCTGGCCTCTCATGACTGTGGGGATGCTGCAACAGTTGTAAGTGTGAAAAACGGTCATAAGTCACTTTTTTCAGTGCCACTGTAACTTTGAACAGTCACTCCACACAAGCAAAGTACCAGCAAAGGAGCGGATAAAAACTCCAGAGAAGTTCCTGAGACAGGAAGTCTAGTCCTGCCAAGAATGTAACAAGGGTTAACCGAGAGGCAGTTTCTGTAAGCAACACCAGAATGTTTCCTTCCTGCCTTCCTTACAGGATTAGGCCTGTAATTTCAACCGGTTCTCCGAACTGCTCAGAAAGTTAACAGCCGGTTCTAGCGAATAGGTGCGAACTGGTAGAATCCCACCCCTGACTTGCTTGTGATGCAGGGATGGGGCCAGGACCATCACGGAGATTGTGGAGGCCGACAGCAGTGAGATTCTGCCTTCAGAGATTGTGGACGTGGCTCCCCGAGGAGCCTGTGCCCAGTGTGTGGGCGTGCAGGGCTTCTTGAAGGAAAGAACAGTTGCAGCAGCACGGGCAACTCAGGAGTAAGGCTGCAAGGTAGTTAGTAGCCTTAAAAGATAAAAGCCAGCCTGAGAGACTGAGATTCTTTGCAGGAAGCAAAGACGTTTTTGCATTCAAGCCTTGTGGACGTTCGGACTATCTTAGTTTGTGTTTGGAGACTCTTTGTGTTTGAAATATTTCTTGGCAACTTCATCTAGTGTTCTTGGCAGCCTTGCGCCACCTTGGCAAGGCTCGTTCTGATCAGAGACAATTAGTTTGAAACAGCCTTTTAACCGGGAAGGAACGGAATTCGTAAAGAATCATTAAAAGGTCTTGCTGTTAACCTCTGTTTTGTGTTTGTTTCCTGGGAACAAGGTTTGGGGTCAGAACACTACGTGTGTCAATAACCGGGTTTAATTCTTCAGCTTGGAATAACGGCCCTTTCTCTATCCTAATAGAGTAAGCCAGAACTCCCGAAGAAGGAATCCCCAGTGCCTCTGGAAAACGATTTTAAAACAAACGGCATCCAAGACGAACAAGAAGACGCTGATCTATTTGCAGGTTGGTCATGTTGCACGTCATGGTGGAAAGAGGGTGATCCTTTGGGTTGCCCAACTTGGCGTGACTCCAAGCCAGTGGTGGTGTTCTATCGGTTCGGCTCGGTTCTACCGAGCCGGTAATGGCAATGAGTAGCGGAGACCAAACCGGTTCTCGTGTGAAGCGGCTGGGAGAGTGCAGGCTTGCAGGAGGTGAGTTGGAACGCCTCTGCCCTTGTGCAAAGTGCACGTTTGGCGTGTGCGCGCACGCAAAGTGTGTGCGCGCGCGCAAACGTTGCCCACCAAGCCACGCCCGACGAACTGGTGGTAAAACTTTTTTAATCCCACCACTCATCTGAGCGGCTAACAGCAATCGGAGACATTAACAGTAAAATCAATTACAAAAATAAAGAGACAAGATGGCAAGAGCAATAAATTAACGCAGGTTGTGGTCCAGGACCAAGTAACTTCCTGTTGCATCTTCTTGGGTTTGATTTGTCAATTTCTAAAGAAAAAGGCACTTAAGTAAACAATTCGATTTAGTGATGTGATTCTACCAGGAATATCTTTTCCTGATCCCTAAAAGTCAAGGAGTGACTTCACTCTGGGATGAAATGCTGCAGACTATCCTCAAGTCAGGGGAAGTGGAATTTCATTTTTAAAAACTATCAACTTATCATTCCATTTGTCCTTTTGCAGATGCCACTGTTGAATTGTCCCTGGATAATACCCAAAACCACATAAAGAAGGAGTCGACAACAGTGTTCAGTCCTGTCCCCTCTCTAGAAGGCACAACTCATTCCTCTTCTAAGCAACAATCCAAAACCTACGAGGAGGTAAGCGCCTTTGGGTTTGGCTACTTACCTATTCAGTGTAGCTACTTGTATGTTCAGTGATGTCCTGTGTAATAGGGAATGAGACCTCCCTCCATCTCCTTTCATCTCCAACGCGTTACACAACGATGAAGTGCCACCAAGAACCTTCTCCACAGAGGCCCTGTTCTGACCAAGGCTTTCCCCAACAGCATGAAGCCAGCTCCTCGTCCCAGTAAACCCCTTTTATTTAGGTTAAAGTGAATTCCTCTCCAGCAAAGTCCCGGCCAACACAGTCTTTCAAGATATTTCACAATTACAGACCTTTCTCAGGCTTGGAGAGTTGCCAGGCCGATATCTTTCAGAGGCCACACTGTAGCAGACAATACTTGGCAAGAATGTAGGAACAGATCTTCACCCAAATGAACTAATTGTCTCCTGCAAAACCCCACTCCCTTTTCGCTACTCTTTTGTTCCCTCTGGGAGGGCCCGCTCACCCGTCCACCTGTGGCTTTACTCCCAAGTCAACCCTTGTTCCTTAGCTGTTCCCTTCTTCTGGTAGCTCTGTGCCTGTGCACACCGATAACAGGCTCCCGCTGTTCTTCTTCCCCACTGATCTTCGACTCCGAAGGTAGCGGATAACTGTCGGACGGCCCTGGCCCCATCTCTGCTTCCCGACGCTGAGCCCTCGTCGGAGCCTTCCCCAAACTCCAGGACTGGCCCAGGTTCCTCCCCAACCTCCTCATTCTCCGAATCTGCTGCCAGCTCCACGGGCTGCTGGTGGCTACAACAAGCCCTGACTTCATGGAAATCCCAGTCCAGCCAAAAAACAAACAAACAAACCCCACTTTCTCCCTAAAACAAAGCTAGAGTAGTTGTCATCCTTCCTTTTATTGCTAGAGAAAGGGGCAGATGCTCTCTCCATGCAAAGAAAGGCAAGAGGAGTGCGCTAGCTGTTGGCTAGTGTTTTGGGCTTCATCCGTTTCCCACCTTCTAGCACGACTGTTAAAAAAACCCTGAAGTTACTTTCGTGCTTGGAGCATGTCAGCAATTCTGCAGGCTGTTGTCTCCCCTTTCCGGTTAGCGTATTGACTTTTGCCCCTTCAAGCTTGAAATACAAAGGTGACTATTATATATTTATGCTTTACAGCTCTGTCTATCTCCTATCTTTCAGGATATCATTGATAGGAAAAGCAGCGGGCACGTAAGACACACACAAACAAAAGCACAACAAATGCTTTTTCTAAAAAGCCAGCAGCTAAGATGCTTCCCATAGAATAGAATAGAATAGAATAGAATAGAATAGAATAGAATAGAATAGAATAGAATAGAATAGAATAATAGAATAGAGAATAGAATGAGGAATAGAATAGAGAAGAGAATAGTGAATAGAATTAGAACAGAATAGAATAGAATAGAATAGAATAGAGAATAGAATGAGGAATAGAATAGAGAAGAGAATAGTGAATAGAACAGAATAGAACAATAGAATAGAATAGAATAGAATAGGGAATAGAATAGAGAATAGAATGAGGAATAGAATTAGAACAGAAAAGAGAATAGAATAGAATTAGAAATAGAATAGAATAGAATAGAATAGAATAGAATAGAATAGAATAGAATAAATTCTTTATTGGCCAAGTGTGATTGGACACACAAGGAATTGTCCTCAGTGCATATGCTCTCAGTGGACATAAGAAAAAAATAAAATACATTCATCAAGACTCATAAGAGACAGCACTTAGTGATAGTCATAGGATATTAATAAGCAATCAAATCATACTAGGAACAAATAAAACAATATAAATTGTAAAGATGCAAGCAATGCAGTTATAGTCATAAGTGGGAAGAGAGAGGTAATAGGAAGGATGAAAAGAATAATAGTAATGCAGTCTTACTGAATAGTTGGACAGTATGGAGGGAATTCGTTGTTTAACAGAGTGGTGGGGTTCAGGAAAAAACTGTCCTTGTGTCTAGTTGTTCTGGTGTGCAGGGCTCTATAGCGTCGTTTTGAGGGTGCTGAGAAAACTCTTAAAAAGGGCAGTGAGAAGAAAGCGGGAGACAGCTGAGGCTTCTGACGTGGCCCCCACCTGCGTTCCTTATCTCTCTCTCTCCACTATTGTGTGTGTCGTACTGTAGGACACACAATACTGACCAGGCTGCCCCCCAGGAAGGGAGGGAGTCTCAGGCCCTTTGGCGCCCACAAGAGATCAAATTTCAGCACACCTTGAATTCCCGTGACTCTGATCTCCCGCCTCTCTGCTTGGAACCGTTGGTAGTTGAGATTCTTGCAGAGCGCGGCGTTCTCCTGCCGTTAAACCTCAGTTCCTTTGGCTCCTTGATTTCCTCCGCTTCACGCCTCCCTCAAGTAGGGCCCAAGAAAAGTTTCTGACCTCCGTTTAATCTCCTTCTCACCTAGCTGGAAGAGGAAGAGCAGGAAGATCAATTTGAACTTTCCGTGGGAGTGAGCGATCCAGAGAAAATTGGTGAGTTGCCGTGCAATGGGAGGCATTTGACAGAGTGGTGTGTAGGGGTTTAATTCTGTTGAACGTGCAACCGTTCCCTAAATTCATTATATCCACCTTCTGACTTCAGCAGTGTTGCTACCTTACGTGGTTTTTTAGAGCCTTGGACACCAGACACGTCAGTATTTTCTTCCTGACCTCACCGGTGAGGTTAGTGTGATGACCCAGGGTGGGATACAAAAGCAACAAAGTCACAAAAACAGGTGAAGTCCCTTTAATTCCTTCAACTTGGCTTCAAAGGTCCAATTATCATTGACTGGAGAAAAAACTCCCCCACAAACAGTTGCGGGAAAAAAAAAACTGCCGTTCAAACTCAAAATACGTATAAATTATAAATAGGAAAAAAAACAACACAAACCACATTGAAGCAATTAATGAGACAAGGCAGGATAAGGGCTTGAAGACATCCATAGATATTGAAATACATGCACTGGGAAGGACGCCAGAACTCAAATAAGAACTGGCAGACTAGAAATATTTTCACGCTTTGCTTCCAGCACTGGGCCATGCACAGTTTGTCCTTTTAAACAGTCCTCACAGCTGCAGCCCATGAAGGGGATCAAGGCCCTTTCCTCCCCCATAGACCAAGCCATTCATGTTTCTCCCTTATCCGCTCCTCCCTGTGTGCCCTAGGATGAAGAGGGGATGGGCCTGGGTCTTCCTCTGAATGCCCAGTTGGCCTGTGCCCTTCCCCAGTTTCCTCCACAACCTCTGGGAGCCACACTCCCACTCCCTGTCGGCTGTTCCTCCTCTCCCTCAGAGTCAGATTCTAACAGGGGCATGACAGTTAGATCCCCTATCCGTAGCATCCTATCCTCCACCTACATTGGATTAGGTTCAAAGCAAGTGATCCAAACTCACCTGTAAAGAACAAGTTCGAATCCCAAGAAGGATATGGCTAGCTGATGAGAACTAAACCGCTCGAAATAGATCTATACTAGTCTCCCTTCATTTCTTTATCGGTAAAAAAACATAAATTCAACAGTAAAGAATGGAGTTTTGATTTCCTCTTTCCGAGTCCAGATCCGATCCTTGCCGTTGCAAACGGTAGGACTCTGTAGCTGTACTGTCCCAAATTGCAAGATTAAGGACAGTCAGGAGGGCTATCTTGAAATCGACTCCAGAGCTGCCTTTTCTAGGAAGAACGCTGATCAACGAGTGAAATGTGTACAGTTTAGAGTAGCGTTTCCCAACTTTTAAGACGTGCGGACTTCAACTCTCAGAATTCCCCAGCCAGCGTGCACGCACATCTTAAAAGTTGGCATGGTTTGGAAAAATACTGATTTTACAGCAAAGACAGATCAAGTGAGAGCTTGAGTGGTGCTGTGGCCTAGAGGTGGAACTCTTGCCTTGTAATCAGGAGGCTGTGAGTTCGATCCTGAGTAGAAGCAAATATTTCCTTCTCTGGGCACAACGAGGATACATCTGCTGAACAAAACTCCGCATTGGTGAGAGGAAGGGCATCTGGCTATTTTAAATGCTCTGCTAGCTCCGTTCAGATTCCACCCCGCAAGGGATTATGGGGTTGTTAAATAGATCAGGTGAGATCTGATATGCAGTTGATTTCCCCAGGCTGCCAGCATCATGGGAAGGGTAGGGTGTTTCCCAAGCCCCCCCCCTCCCGGGAAAAGTACCCTTCTGCATTGGAGAACTTTGCCCATTGTCCTTGAAGAAGCAGCAGCTGTCAAACCCGATTGTGCTCAGTGCAACTTTCGTGGCAGCTGCGTAAACAAGTATCTGTCCATGCAAGGTTATACCAGGGAAACTCTGTGCCTGGAGAATATTCTCTCCTCTGATTAGGCTGTTTCAAATGAAAGCCATCTGCCCCAAAGGGATCCCTTGGCCAACTCTCAACTTTGTGTCTCTCTCTGTGTGTGTGTTCTTCAGTTGCTTTAATTCTCTTTAACAGCCACTTCATTGTTCAGCGTGGGGCAGATGTGCCCGGCTCCCTCCACACCCTAGCAGTGCAACAAGCCCTTAATTATTGCACCAGCCTGGTATTTGTTAGGAAGCGGAGCTCGGTGTGGCTTGGAACGCATCTCTGTTCCACTCGAGCTCTGGATCGATCCGTCGGTTGCTTGGAAGTTCTGAGTTGCTTTTGTGTTTGTTGGTTTTAATGTCAGATGAAGCAAGGAACGAGATGCTTTTGCGCGCTTGGCATCGGTGGCACATTGATAGAGGGAGAATTCGGCATTGAAGAATGCTCTTTTTTTTTTTTATATATAAAGGAAACGAGGCTTTAGTCCATTTGCATCTAAATAAGATGGTTCTTCTACCCTGGGAAAGAGGGGGAAAACTCCACTCAAACTTTGGGAAAGCTGTAAAGCTTCAGGACCCGGGAAAGTTTTTTCCCCCTGAACTCCCGGGATAGACCAGGGACAGCAAACCTTTTCGTTGTGGTGTGCCGAAAACATACACGTTAGCATGTGTGTGCGATAGCGTACCTGTGCTGGCAGCCACAAGGCAACGTGCCCCACCACCTTGCCCGCACTGCGCATGCGCACGCCTTCCAGCTGATTTTCGACCCATTTGAGGTGCCCGAAAAAATGGGCCTTCCGGAAATACCAGAAGTGCCCAAACAGGCCCATTTTTCAGCCTCCCGAGGCTGCAGAGGCCTCCCTCAAGCCTCTGGGAGGGCGAAAATGGCTTCCCCCAGGCTCCAGAGGCGGAAAACAGACAGTTTTGGTATTTCCGGAAGGCCCATTTTTCGGCCTCCTGGGGCTGCAGAGGCCTCCCTCAAGCCTCTGGGAGGGCGAAAATGGCTTCCCCCAGGCTCCAGAGGCGGAAAACAGACAGTTCCGGTATTTCCGGAAGGCCCGTTTTTCGGCCTCCTGGGGCTGCAGAGGCCTCCCCCAAGCCTCTGAGAGGGCGAAAATGGCTTCCCCCAGGCTCCAGAGGTGGAAAACAGACAGTTCTGGTATTTCCGGAAGGCCCGTTTTTCGGCCTCCTGAGGGCTGCAGAGGCCTCCCTCAAGCTTCTGGGAGGGCAAAAATGGCTTCAAACGGGCCGAAAATCAGCTGGGAGGGGCACGCATGCACAGTGCAGGTAACTTTGCCTGGGGCTTGCCTGCCCGCACAAATGGCTCTGCGTGCCACAGGTTCGCCATCACGGTGATAGTCTGAAAGGGAGGCCCCTCTTGAGTTTTGGCACTATCGCCTTTGAAATTTTGCGATTGCCACAAACAGGCATCAGTTGTGCAAAAGAAATCATGTCAATACACTTAGTCCTTGACCTTACGAACACAATTGAGCCCCAAATGGATGTTGCTACGTGAGAAATTTGTTCAGTAAGTTTGGTCTCATTTTACGACTTTCTTCACCCCCGTTTGTAAAGTGAATCACGGCAGGGGTTAAATTAGTCACACCGTTGTTAAGTGAAACTGGCTTCCCCGTGGACTTGGACACACACACACCCCGCAACCATCCAAGCATCCAAATGTAAATCATCATGGTGATGCTGCAATGGTCATAAGTGTGAAACACGGTATATTAGTTCAGTTTTTGCAGTGCCTGTAACTTTGAACAGTTACTAAACTGTTGTAAGTTAAAGGCAACCTGTAGTAACCATTTGTGTACTCTGTGTGTGTGTACATAAAGGTATGTGTATTGAAGTTTTCAAGCATATTTTTACTCTTAGTGTGATTCTAATGTACGTAAACTGCCTAGATCAGAGGTCTCCAAACTTGGCAACTTTAAGACTTGTGGACTTTAACTTCCAGAATTC